AGCAACTCTCAACTGACTGAGGTACTGCCCCCTCAGGTCATCTGGAAACATATGAGTATTTTTGTCTCAATATCGAGGGGTAAAAAGGGAGTACATAGTACACTAGACTTCATGAGAGTGATGAACAAAGCAGTAACCCAAAACATGCAGGATAATCTTTTATAACCACCCCAAACATCAATAGCACTCCTGCTGAAAAACAAGGATACAGATTATGAGAAAAGGGAAGCAAATAGTCAATGTAATTTAATATTGATACATCAAAATTAAATATAAGCAACATGTTATTAATATGGTTAAATAGGCTAAAGTTTGGAAAGGTTTTCATTACTGTAGGTCTTAACAATTTAGGTGATGGCATGATAAGACTTACAGAAATCCTAAAAGGACAACATATTGAGCAACCTTGGGTAATTCCAAGGAGATCAAGGAATTTTAAAAACAGTATGTCGAGACCACTAACTGTAGCAAGTATAAAGCTATTGACTATTTCTTCTTAGAAGTCTATTTTAAGCAAGCAATAGCATCACACTATGCTCCTGTTCCCAGTCAGGAGTGCACAGAGAACAAGCATTATTCTAGATGACGAATCATATTATCAATACATATTAGCAAAAATGAAATATATTTGTCTACCACATCCACCATATTACTCATAAAATAATTTAATCAGATAATTTAAGAAAAATATATGCATACATGAATGCTATGAAGTTTTAAAAGGTCACTGCTGTTTCTCACCAAATGCTAATTTATCAAAAGGCAGAATCATGGGTATAAGTTAATATTATGCAACAAGTTCTATATTATTTAAGGAAATTATTTTCTTATGCAATAAAAGAAAAACTGAGCATAACAGCTTAATGTTTTTGTATAGATTATTCAGTTACATATTTACAACTCATTGATACAGTGCGCGCACACACAAAAATTATAGCAAGTCTGACAGCTATCCTTAGGAACACATGGTTGCAAAGTTAACCCTTGGATAATAAGAGATTTTGGATTTTGGGAAAGTTCTCACCGTTTCCTGATAAGAATGGCTTACTGTACCTATACTGTTTATGTAAAAAATCTGATTTATATTGAATACTTGCTTTTTGTCTAGGAGTCTGGAATTTTGGCTCATGTCAGGCAGAGGGCCTATGTGACCAGAACCTTGCAAAAACCACAGGCACTGAGTCTTTAGTGATCTCCCATGGTAGACAAGATTCCACATGTGTTGTAACAATTAGTTGCTGAAGGGATTCAGTATATCCTGTGTGACTCTACTGGGAAAAGATGTTTGGTTTCCCTTAGCTTTTGTCACATGCATCTTCGTGACATGTTAAGTAGCCTCCATTGTAATAAATCATAGCCATGAATACAACTGAGTATTCCTAGCAATCCTTGAACCTGAGGTGGTCTTGAGACTGCTGATGTGGTGGTGTTAGAAGTGGGATTCGTCAGAACAACTCCTACTCATGGAAACAAAGTGAAAGCATTGTTTGGGAAAAGGAAGGATGAAGTGGCAGGATGACAAATTTTCAGCTCGGGTGGCTATGCAACAGCAGCTGAGTTGGTTTCGCCTGTGAGAGGGAAAAGCTACCTATGAAATTTAAAAGGAATAGCTCTAACTCCAGGAGAGTGGGCTCACTTAATTCCCTGGCTGCTTTTGGCCATGCTTATTCAAGTGGGCGATGCCTTTGGTGGTTGTTTTCACCTCCAAGTAGGAGGAGAAAAAACCCTAAAGTTCCCAGAGGCAGGCTTTGCGTGGACCACCAACGTTAAACTTTTGTGTTGCTCTTTCCTGCAAGCATGAGGAAATAATAGTTAAATTAGATCCCAGGGATGAAGAAAGCTTTAGATAAACTAAGGGAGAGGAAACCACTTGAACTGTTTCTTCAGCCTAATTGTTGTTGCTATATCAGCTCCTCTATACCTCTTCCATTCCAGTCAGCATCTCCCAGCAACTATAATGTTAATGGTATAAACGCTGAATTTTACTACTGGGTTTAAGTAAATTTGTAATTAGAATAAAGGGGCAGGGGAAGTTTAAAAAGATGGATTTGTATTCTGTGGTTATTTCATCTGGCTGAATGATAAAGATATAAAATATTGTATGTTTGTACTTTCACAAATGCTAGAAAGATAATATCACTTAGGAAAAACTGCAAAATAAAAAGTTAATGATAGTGATTCTGGTGGGGGTGGAGGTGGAAGAAGATATAGAGGGTATAAATGGTAATGGAAAAAATACAATAAAAAATAAAATGTTTTAAAAAGGGAAAACAAGTGAGATATAACCTTACTGCTGGTGAAGGGAATGGAATTTAAACTGTTTAAGTATTGAAAACAGGATAAATCTCTGTAATGAATGGTATTTACTACTATTTTTACATATTGATGTCTACGAGAAAAAAGAGACAACATGAAAACAAAGAAAATCTGCAGCTAGCAATGTACTTTTGGAGTTTTAAAAAAGCAACTTTAGTTGCTACCAAGCTCTTTTGAAATCAGATGTCTGACCTTTAGAGGTCAATGATCTTCCAGCCTGAAGTGCATGTTTTTGAGTGGATCAATCTGGACTCTAAGAATGACAAGATAAAAGAGGCTTCAAAAAGTCTTGCCACTTTGACTTGGAACATGACTGTCTGTTTTGCCACATGTTGGCTTTGCTGACTCTGAAGAAAAGTCACTGGCTTTTTTGGAATTCTGAATTCACAGACCCTAATTACCTGGATCTGAATTTAAGCTGCAATCCAATAATGTCTGGTACTGGGCTATTTAAACCTCAATACAAACTGTACTGAGCTACAACAGACATATGCTCAATGAACATGACTCTGATTTGAGGACTGCTGAAGATTTAAGACATTCTGTGGAGCCATAAACTGAAAACATCACACATTCTGGTTGGACCATTTGAATCTCTTGCAATACCCACAGGAAAGGGCTTATTCTCTGATGGGCCATCTGAAGTCAAGCTGTAGCTTAGTTCAATGTATCTGATACAGAGACTAAGTACACTCCTAACTTGTGGTTACAGACAAAAGCTACAGGATGGGAGAGAGCATTCTACTCACTCTCACAGACTGGACTCTCAATCCCTCTTATGGATCTCTCACTGCTATAGACCTGTATTCAACTTTCTGGATTAGTTGCAGTTTTCAACAATATATTAATAACCTGCCTCAATTTCTCTTATAGTCACCTCACCCCTCCTTATACACACACCTTAGTAAGATAATTTGATTATTAAACACAGCTGTCTTCAGAGGAACTGATTTTTTCCAGATTGCTCATGAAGGAAGTGATCAGGGCAAAAGGGGTGTGAGGTGACATAAACCTATTTTGAAAGTTTTTGAAAGTTTGGGATTTCATCCAGACCAATTCCTAAACATGATTATGTCTTCCTAGTTAGATTGTACAAAAATGTCTTTCTGTACAAATGCTTTTGTTCCTCTTACAGGTCTGGATAATTGAGGAAAAAGTGAATAGTTTTCATTACTGAATTGGACATACTGAGGGAGAGAAAATGAAACCCGGCATCAGGGGAAGAGAAAAACATTAGCAATTTTTGTTTTTCATAACTATTCTTAAAGGCTTTCCCTTCTTCCTGAAAAAACAAAAACAAAACTCCTGGTGTTGACTTTCCACACTGCTGTGATTGCTTTGAATTTAGACTGACTGCCAAGCTTCCAATCACACGTCCGGTGCTGAGACAGCAGGGAGCAGCCCCACGCCTACACTTTTCACACAGATCATCCGCACTAGTGAGGCAAATGAACTGTGTAACGGATAAATGTAACTGTTTGGAATTAATTGCCTTCAGACAGTCCACCTGAAATCAAGGCCTGAAATGAAGTACTGGATTAGGAACTCTACAGAGAGAGGTCCCATGAAAGGAGAGAGCACACTGGGCGGGGGGTGGGGGGGAGGCTTCTAAACCTCTACTACCTGACCAATATATATATGTCTTGCCTGGGGTACCCTAACAGTTGTAAACTATTGTTTCCGATTGTTAAACTATGTATACCTTCTGAGACTGTATTTCCTGTGTACACTATTATGACACTGCTTGAACCCTGGAAAGTGTTCAGGTCTGCTTTGGTTTATCAGCCAGAGTTATACTTTGCCTAAACTGATACTTCAGGTCATGTACAGGTCCATAGAGAAACTAAGGGAGAAAGCCACCTAGTTTTCTAAGATAAGCCTCATCATTAATGGCTTTTATTTTAACTAGCTAAATCCAGGACCTCTAAAAGGTCTGCGATCAATACTATGGGTTGGTCTTGCCTTGCTGTATGAAGTCCTACTGCTAATAGTTTTGCTGTAAGAACATTTGGCCAATGGCCATGAATTAACACAACAGACCTAGGATTGTTTTCCTTAGAAAAGCTTTGTTGCCCTAGGCTGGCATCTGAGAACCTGAATGGTCCACAGTTCCCTACACTGATATTAACCTTTCCTGAAATGATGAGAATAGCTAACTGTGCCTAATAATCTGTATAAACAGTATGGTTTACACTAAACACCTGCTCTCTTTTTCTGAGGGTCTGAAATTTTGGTATATGACAGGCAGATGCTGCCTATGTGACTAGCCTCCAATAGAAACCCCGGGTACTGAGTTTCCAATGAGCTTCCCTGGTAGACAACACATCACGTATGTTGTCAGTCTTGTTGCTGGGGAAATTATGTGCCCCATGTGACTCTACTGGGAGAGTACCCCTAGCAGTTTGTGCCTGTTTTTCCTCACACTTCACCCCAAGTGCCTTTTCCCCTTTGTTGATTTGCATTTGTATCCTTTTGCTGTAATATATCATAGCTGTGAAAATGTCCTATGAGTTCTCCTTGCAAATCACTGAAACTATGGGTGGTCCTGGGGACCCCCAACAAAAGTAGTAACAATTTTAAACAAATAAACAGATCAACCTAGAGTAAACATTACATTTGGATACAGAAATGCATCACCAAAATTTCTTTTGTTAACAAAAAGTTAGAATTAATGGATTACTTACGAAAACAGATCAAACCACTGCTGTTTTGTAACAGATTCCTGGCGTAAAAGCTTCAAAACAATTGGACGCATGAAATCCCATTTGTCTTCAAACTGAAGGGATCCTTTATTCTTTTGATAAAAAAGAAAAGGATAAACAATATTTTAATTTAAATGCAGTTAAATCAAAGCTGTTATTTTCACCTTTTAAGAGATAACAAAGGAACTGTAAAAGAATCAGGTTTTCATAGTGGAATCCCTCTAAACTTAATCTGGTATCGAGGAATCACAGAAAGATAATAATAAAAAAAAAGATCAATTGTCAAACGGTATAGTAAAGAATTTGACCTTGTCCAAAGTGAAGGTCTTTGCCCTTGGCTTCTAGTAGATAATCTCTGGGCCCTTGGTAACTTGGAGACCTTAGGACGTATTGGGTAATCTAACAATGTGATTTAGGGAGGGAATTTATGATACCCATGTAGTCTTGAGCAGTGGAAAAACACGTCTCAATAGGTCAGTACTAAATCAAGTGGAGAATATTTTGAAGGTGACTGAAGTTTAAACATCTAAGAATAAATACACAATTTTTTCTTTCTCATATACGCACCATCACACACTGAGGCAAAGAGAACTAAGACATGACTTCATGGGAGAGGACAAGGGAAGCTCTATGTTCGAAACCCAACTGGACTTTGCCCTATGTGTCTCTTCCTTTGGCTCATCTTAATCTTTCCTTCCGTCCCTCCCTTCCTCCCTCCCTCTCTTTCTTTCTTTCACTTTTTAAAAACATATTTTATGTATTTTTTTAGAGAAAAGGGAAGAGAGGAAGAAAGAGAGGGAGAGTAACATCAATGTGTGAGAAAGAAACATCGACTGTTTGCCTCTCGCATGCCTCCGACTGGGGACCTGGCCCACAACCCAGACATGTATGTACCCTGACCAGGAATCAAACTGGTAACCCTTTGGTTTGCAGCCCAGCACTCAATCCACTGAGCCACACCAGCCAGAGTCTTAAAGTTTCCTTTCCTTGTAATAAACCATAACCAAGAGTAGAGCAACTCAGAGTAAGAGCTGAGTTTTTCTAATGAATTATGAAACCTAATGTTGGTTTTGGGAACCCCCAAACATGCAGCTGATGTGAAAAGTGAAGGTGGTTTTGTGTGTGGAGAATATGGCCTCTAATTTTATTGTTGACCTAAACTTCTTAAAAAAGTACATTTAAAATCTATACACACTCTGAAAACTGAGACCAAAATAAAAACAAAAAGAAAACAACCATGAAGATAGCCATTTTATTTTAGAATGCTAAGAAGACACTGATTAATACCAACAAGATGTGAAGAGAAGAAATGGAAACTCTAGACCAATCTAAATAAAGAACATAGATACAAAAATCTTAAATAAATAGTGAATTAAACAAGGGGCATATCAACAGAATGATACCTCATAATCATACATGATTTATCCCAGGAATGTGAATATTAGAAAATATTCAATATTCAATATTAGAAAAAAATAAATCCTTATGTCACTAAAAAGAGAGACTCCAAATGTATTAGTCATTAATACTGCTTTCATTTAAGTCAAATATAGCCATGTGCCTTGCTTTTGCCAATAATTTTGAACAAAAATCATGAATTTTCTAATATACCAGTATCACACACCCCTAAGAAACTCATTCTTTTCACTGTGAATGTTGTCGAGGGTGTTGCTCACTTGAATGAGAGAGGGTTCACACTCTGCATGGAATCTATGAACTCCCCAAAATTATAAACCCAGAAGCAGTTTTTAAACATATAGTCTGATGGGGACCTACATCAGAATCACCTAGGATGGGGGTACACATACAGATTTCTGAAATCTACCTCACACCTGCTGGATCGCAATCTCTTGAGGTGAGTTTAAAATTTGCATGTTTAGCATATTCATGTACGTAAAAGTATGTAAAAATGTTAGAGTGTTCTGCCCTGGCTGGTGTGGCTCAGTAGACTGAGCGCTGGCCTGCAAACCAAAGGGTCACCAGTTCCATTCCCAGTTAGGGCACTTGCCTAGGTTGTGGGCCAGGTCCGCCATAGGGGGGTTCTTGAGAGGCAACCACATAGTGATGTTTCTCTCCCTCTCTTTCTCCCTCCCTTCCTCTCTCTAAAAATAAATAAACAAAATCTTTTTTAAAAATGCTAAGAGGGTTTATGACTGCAAAAAGGCTAGGGACCACTAATATTAAATGATTGTGAAAGCAAGTGATGCTTCTTACATTTACAAACACAGTTGATCCTAAAGTTACTGTACTGTCTTGTCCCAGGTACCTACTTTTATCACAGAGCATTTTTGTTAAAGACTCACAGAAGATATTCATTCAAAATGTAATACCAGGATTAGCTCTGCTTCTTCCCAGATTAACTAGTTTGTTTTTACCTTTTGTAAGTTGGCTAATGAAAAATTCAGTCAGATTTGTGATCCTGTGGCATACATTTTGTGTACTAATCTTTTTGTACTGTCATTCTTTTCCTATAACCCTCATTTCTTCATGTACTCTTCCCTCTGAGGAAAAGAGGTACAAACAAATATGAAAGAATAGAAAGCACACGCAAATCTGTTCTTCCCTATGACATGGAGAATCATAATTTCCTCTTCATAAAGGGATACTTTATAATGTCAATTAAGTCTATCTCCATAAGCAACTTTGGCAATTTATAAAATTAAACATAGTATAAATCCTACAATTAAAAATCAGAAAGGTACAGAGGACTAGAGTAAACAGGTTATTTGAGGTAAATTAAGTAGTGGTTAGGCTCTGGAATAAGTTATGTCAAAATAACACATTTTGGTTATCCTGTTTTATGAACAAACAAGATTAACTACAGAAATATTTCCCCCTAATAGTCAATTAAAGAAGAAATTTAATAATTAAATGCTTTCTATTAAACTTTTACAATAGATTCCAAAAAATGATATTCAAAAAGTTCTTTGACCTATTCTCTGAAATTGAAGAGCATATCATTGTCATAACTATGCAGCAGGACACTAAACCTACTACCTACAAAACTACCTACTGCCTTATTAAGTGTAGGGACCTTCAAATTATGAACCATGATTTATCAATGTTTCTAATGGTTAAATAAAGGCTGCTTCATCTCTATTAATGTACTACAAAGTATCTGCTTTAATTCTTTCATTATTACTCACAACAGCAATTACATTAGTACTTAGAGCTCACCAACTGCTAGTTAGTCTTGGATTATCTCACCCACTGGCTCTTCTCTGCTGAGAGGATTTCAACATTTGCCATACTCCTGCCCCTCTATCATGCACTTCTTACGGCACAATTAATTCTTTCACAGGTACTCTTTACACACAAATGGGCCATGGGGAAGCCAATGGGAGTTGGCCAGGGAAAATATGTGGGGGAAGAGTACTGCAGGCAGAGAAAGCAGCCATTGCAAAGACCCTAATCCAAACACAGAAGGATGTCTGACATACTCAGAGTAGAGCAAACTAAGGACAGAGGAAAGCACCGATGAGGTCAGAAAAATAGAGGGTTGGATCTTGCATGGCTTTGAAGGCCATTACAAAGACTTTGGCTTCAGTAAGAGAGATGGGGAACCATTAAAAAATTTTGAAGAAATGACAGGATCTGATTTCCATTTTAACATCTCCCTGATTGCTGTGTTAAGAATACATCACAAAGGGCAAGGGTTAAAGCTGAGTGTTGGGTTAGGAGTCAAGGTGAGAGACGATAATGTCTTGGGCCAAGGTAGTAGAAATGGAGGTAGTGAGTAGTAGTTAGATTTTATGTTTTAAAGGTGGCACTAACAGGGTTTCCTGACAGTGTGCATGCAAGAGGAGATAAAGAAATAAAGCATGTCTCCAAGGCTTTTGTCTAATAAACTTAATTTGTACATTGCGACCCAGAAAGTGGAGGCCACCCCAGTGGTCCAGCCCACATCATAAATCTAAACCTAAGTGAACCTGCACATATGGAAAATGCCTCACTGTCAAGCAAACCTAATGCTGATTACAATCCTCCAACACAGCTAGCTAGCTAACCTTAACTAAAAAAATAGGGCCTGCTAGCCTTATAAGGAAATCCCTGACCTCCTAGCCAACCGGGCCCTGTTTCCATGCTGCCTCTTCTAACATTCTATAACATTCACTCTTGCTCAAAATTCCTCAGGAAAAATGCTCCAATGATTGTTACACACTGTCTTCCCCCAAACCATGACTCTTTCTCCTTGATTAAAGGACACCAAACCAATTACTAAATTGTTTTAGTTTTGTGATTTGACACGTCCGAGAAATGTGATTTGGTGTTGCGATCAATTGGAATGGAAAAACTGCAGATGTAACAGTCTTAAGAAGGAAAGCTCAGGAATTTGGTTTCAGACATGTTGCATTTCGATGTATCTATTAAACAGCCATTTGAAGACACTGAATACTCAATTTGATACGTAAATCTAGAATTTAAAAGAAAGATATGATCAGGAAATATAAATTTGAGTCATCAGAGTACAGATAGATGGGTTTTAAAACTTGACAATGAATAAGATCACTAAGGAAGTGAATATAAGACGACAACCCAGGCCCAGTCCTTAAGTATCCAACATTAAGAAGTAGGGAAAAGAGTGAGAACTATGAAAGAAGACAGAGCAACCAGAGAAATGTGATTTGGCATTGCCATCTGAGAGAGGTGGCAAGACAATCTAGAGTATGGCATTCTGATCCTGGCCAGGTGGCTCAGTTGATTGGAGCGTCATCCCCAACACCAAAAGGTTGCATGTTTGATTCCCAGTCAGTACACATGCCTATGTTGTGGGTTCAGTTCCCACATCGGGGCATGTACAGAAGGTAACTGATTAGACAAAGGACAAGTTGCTCAACATCACTAATCATCAGAGAAATACAAATCAAAACCACAATGAGAGACCACCTCACACCTGTCAGAATGGCTATCATCAATAAATCAACAAGTGTTGGCAAGGATGTGGAGAAAAGAAAACCCTTGTGCATTGCCGGTGGGGATGCAGATAGGTGCAAATACTATGAAGAATATTGTGAAGGTTCCTCAAAAAATTAGAAATGGAACTATCTCATGATCCAGCAATTCCACTTGTGGGAATATATCTGAAGAGACC